TCTGAATATACTAGTTTCTTCATTATTTGTAACATAATGGAATAAAGTAAACCATTGTTTTTATACAATAGAAAAAGAGGTTAATTACTTGATTGGTCACTGAACTTTACGTAAAATTTTAAAGAGGTCACAAAACTATAAAAGTTTTCCATTTAGTCATTGAACTTTACAAATGTAATCAAATCCATCAATGAGAATTACAAAAGTTTCCCCATTAATCACTAAACTTTACAAAATGTAATCACATCCAATATTCAGTGACTAATGAGAAATTTTTTGTAAAGTTCAGTAACTAACAAATAAACTTTTGTAAAGTTTAAACTAATGGGGAAACTTTTGAAATTCAGTTACCCACTAAAAACCTCATGCAAAGTTTAATGATAGATCAGGTAATTAACCAATTTTGATATTTTTTTTCTTCCTCTTTTTTTACTCATACCCCATAATTTTATTATCTCTAGTATCTTCAGACTTAGAAGGAAGAATATGCTTTTATCCCAGGAATAATTGACAACATTGTCTCTGACCTCTATAAGATTAAAATAGAAGCAATAAATGATAGTTCTATGAGCTTATAAGCTGTTTCAGTTTCGGTCATTTTTCCATCTAAACACACTTGAAAAAAAAATCAAAAATCTATTAGATTCTTAGCTGAAAATGAGTATGAATTTCAAAGTTGAATACCATGAAGCGATCAATGTTGAAGGGGTTATCTTCCAAAATAATTGACTACATGGACCATTGTTGCATTTTTGAGAGTTCAGGAGACATTTTTGTCGATTACCCTTGGGATGAAAGCTTTTTTTTTTTTTTCAAAAGTTCGACGATGATAGAGAGAATAAAATTGTGCAATAGAGAAAAAAGAAAGAAAAAAGATCTTTAAAAAAATAAAGATTGATAAATCAACTGATTGGGAAATTTTTATAAAGTTCAGTGATTAAAGGAAAAATTTTTGAAGTTCAGTGACCACTTAGAAACCTCACGAAAAGTTCAGTAACCAACCAAATAATTAACTCTAGAAAAAACGATTTCCAAACAGTTACACATTTCATTAGTGGAAAATGAATGTTCCATTAAAAAAGTTGACTGTCATTCAGTGTTAAAAATAAATTAAACATTTAAGAGTATTATTTATCGTGGGTGGATTTAGACTGGACTGGGCTTTAGCCCAATCCCCTCCCAACCCATTTCAGTTTTCTAGGTGTCAAAAAAACACAGCTAATAATGTATCATCTCCATGAATAATAAATGGCTGGCTATACATACATATGCTGAAATATTCAAGTTTTTCAGTAAATTAGCAAATTAAATATAAAAACAAATTTGAAACATATAAATCCGAATATGTCAACTTAATTTATTTTAATATTCAACCTGAATACGAAATTCAAGCTAGTTCTCTTGGATCATCAATTGTTCCAAGACGGATTTTTCAATGACTCGAGTCTTTGTTAGTTGCTTTTCAATATATTCTTCGTACTTCATTGGAAGATAGGAAGCACGGCCATCTCTTGCCACTAGCGACGGAGCAGGGCCAACAATGGCGTCCAGCGATGGACCATTGGCTACAACAATTGAAATCCTTGTCTTCTCGTTATTCAAAACGGCTCTATGCTTCACACTCTTGCATCTCCCATTGCTAAATATCTGCGGAAGTGAACTTCATTCATTATATTTTAGCATAAATTACATATGTTCATGGATTTATTGTTAAATGACTCTATTTCTGAAAATATTTGGACATGAAGAGCTTTGCAAAAGGAAGAAAAATTCTTCTATTTCACGTTAAAGAAAAAATATAAGAGCCCTGGAATTAGCCATTAGGGCCCAAAAATTGAAATTTTGTCAATTACGTTAGGAATTATTGTGGGCAAGAAATCCTAATCCATTGCAAAGTAAATCAAGATATTCTTACCCACTTTTGTAACTCTTAGTGCTCGTCTGGCATTACTTTTATTTCCTCTAGAAGAGTTTTCGGAGGAAGATATTTTAATTTTTATTTAAAAACTAATTTTTAAAAGCACTTCATATTCTAAAAGCGCTTTAAGCGTCCTCTAAAATATCCTCTAAAAACTCATCCAACTAGTAAAAGCATTTTCATAAAATTAGTTAAATGGGGTCCAAAAGTTACTTTTGAATCTTAAAAGTTCATTTTTAATTTTAAAAGCTATGTCAAACGAGCCATAAATGTAATTGGCAGTTGTTTCTAGAAACAAAGGGGTTCAACCTTTTTTTTTTTTTTAATTCTTAATTGAAACCCAAAATTGATTCCTAATCAAATTTCCAACTTTTTTTAGACTAAATGTTTCCATCAAGTTAAAGAAAATTTCCTTGAGTTTTTTTTTATTTTTTTTGGTAAAAAAAAAAGAACTTAAAATAATCTGTTTTTCCAGCACTCTATTTTTTTTTGCAAAAATGATCCCTTCTATTTTCTGAAACATTTCCTAGAGTTTCCAAAAAGTTCAAGTTATCAAATACATATCGAAAATAAAAAAGCTAGCTTTTTAACTTTTCTATAATTTTGAGCGCAAGAAAAAAGAAAGATGGTTCATACCTCAAGCTGGTCACCGGTGTTGACAAGAATAGAATTCTGAGGTGAATTGACATTAAACCACTCTCCATTGTGTTCTATCTGTAATCCAGCCACCCCATTATGTATCAGAAGCGTCAAAAGGCCATGATCTGTATGTGGTGGAATGCCAATTGCATGATCCGGTTGAGGACAAGGAGGATAAAAATTTCCAGCAAATAATTGAAACATTGACTCCAAATTTAAGGTTTCTTCCATGTAGCCTCTCTCCAATCTCATGGTTTCCGATACTGCTTCGAGTAATGCCCTGGCTAATTTCCTTGTCTTTTCGCTGTAATGCAGTAAAGCTTCCCTGTAGTGATAGTGGGAGAAGAGTAAATCCATGTAATTGGTGCCGCACAATGCTCGAGATGATTAAGAAAGAAAAATAAGGTAAAATTTTGTGCACCCTACTTAGCTTAAAATATGAATTGCTAAGAGAATTATCACTCACCTCCCTCATTTGTTTATTTAATTTTATCATATTTAAGGTACATGAGATTTTAACCCTTTGACATGTTACTGAAGATGGTGGATTGAAAATGCAAACTTTATATTCCGACTACTCATATTTGAGCTCCAAATCGCTCCCGCGTCCTCATCAAGGGAAGTGTTATACCTTGTTCGAGCTCATTATCTTAAAATTCATTTTTTTCTCATGGTCCGTTTGATTGGTCTAAATTTCATGAAAAATTTGACATTCGAGAGATTCAATTTCTACTTTCGAAAGTGGAAATGGAGTTCGAATTTCAATGTGCAACCACTTTAAACTTATTTTTTGCCAATTTCATGGAAAATGAATTCCTATAGAGTACTTGAAATTTTTTCCAATTTATATGAAATTGAAAAGTCTTTCTATCTTTACTAATCAAACGGACCTATAAAGTCATTTTTAACTAAACATCCTTCCAGTAAAATAATTTTGCACGTAAATTCAAATATTTTAATTACTTTTTCACCGTGTACTCTTCTTCATAAAAAAAAATACTATTACAAAATCTTTTTTCTCGGGACTCAAACAGATTACCTCAAAGTTTTGGGTTTAAGAGGACAATGAAATTCAGGATGCACATAGAGCTTCAAGTAATCCCTCCATAAGGTGAACGTCCGGTTTGAGGTATCTGTGACATCAAAATTACCACACTTAATAGGATCAGAAGCGTTCTTTGGTTCATACTGCTGCTTTTCCTCCGCCGGCATATTGAAAAATTCCATAGCCGCTTCGACCATGGCATTCATGTCGTTTTCCGGTATTCCGTGATTTACAAGCTGTGATATCACCAAACTGTTAATTCAATATCACTTCATATAAAAGTTTAAGCTATTACAGATCTAAAAATAATTTTAACTTCATCTTTATCACACCCTCTCACTTTCCATTAAAAAACAGACCAGTAAGCCATCTTTATAAGTGGGTGACAGTGAAGATAAACTAAAATACTTGCAGAAAAAAGTAATAAGATTCCTACAATGAAGAAGCCCCATTCTTGACATGCTTTGCCAAGGTCTTGGATGAATTTGGACCTTTGATCAGGATGACCAGAGGTGAGCAAGGAAAAATCAATCATGGGGATTGAATCAGAGTCTGAAGAACGTATGGGTTCATTCACAAATTTAAATTTAGAAGGGACAGACTCGAGAACAACTGGAGACTCTGCGAGTACTTTGACGCCAGCCATCTCTCTCTCTCTCTTCTCTCTCTGTGTGTGTTGCCCGTGTTGATATGGGGAAAGGATGAGTGCTATATATAGAGTGGAGAGGAGATCAGGGGTCAATACACATGCGTAGGGCAATCGGTTAGTCCGCTGGACACGGTTGAAAACTAGGGAAAAAGGACAGGAAATAGACGTTACAGGAATCAGAGTTAGATCATCTTCTGGAAATTTTTAATTGGAAATAGAGTGTACAGAAATCAGATTTTGATTATCTTCTAGAAAGTTTTGAAAAATCAGAAATGGTTCAAAAGCTCTGGTCACCAAATTTTCCAACATTTAAAGCGTGCCATTTGGTCTCCTCACAAAGTTATTTCAGTTGAGCCAGTTTTTACGTATCGGTTACCTAATTTAAGAATTTGATAGAGGTATTTGATGATCTTGGAGATATGACATTAATAAGCTAAAAAACGTCAAATTATACTTGTAATTTTGGTTTCATGGCCATGCGATTTTTACTAAAGAAATGAAGCGACAGAATGAGGAGCATGAAACCAAAATCGAACTGGAAAGTGGCCATTTTTTTCTTATTAATGTTCATCTTACTAAGACCACTAGTCACCTAAGTCTAATTTTTAATCAATGAGAGATTTATCCCTCCACGTAGCACAAAAAAACAAAAAATTAATTACAATCTAGTATGTAGTATTCAATCGTCCTTGTAAATATTTAATTGACATGTATATTAAGTCTATGTTTGGTACAGTTAAAATTTTGATTAAAATCTAAGTTAAAGTCAACAATTAATTTTAAACACGCATTTCATAAGATCCACAATTTTTCAACTATACATTTATCAAATTTTATCAAAATATGCTAAAGATCTCATTCTAATATCTACCATACAAGGGCTAAATAACTGGGATCCACAATTTAAATAGGACCAAACATGCATATATTTTCTCCTTCGCAAGATAGTGGTTCGTTTGACTACATCAATATTGAAATTTGTGTCTCACTTAAGCCTTAATATGATCGAATTACTCGTTAAAACTTTGACTATATCAATTTTGAAATTCCTGTACTTGTTAAAATTTATGTGTGACTCAAATTTCTTGTTGAAGAAAATTTAGAGTTATAATTAAAGTGCACATTAAGAAAAAAATTTATTTGAAATTCTATTGTGAAATCCTATTCAATTTTACGTGACGAATTCTAATTGAGTTTTCTATTTGAAAGCCCATTGTAATTAGGAATTTGTGTTGGACTTAAAGAGGACATTGAGATGAAGAAAATTAAGATTTTAAAGTAAATTACCTAAAAGTGGGTGCTGCGGCGCCAAGGATGTGGGGTCATGCCGAGGCACCACCTTAACTTTTCATCCCTACGTGATTTTTTTGTTCTATTTCGTTTCCTGCATTTTACTCTAACTACAACTCTACTATGAGAGTTTGGACACCTCCTATTTGTTTTCTATATATAATTAGCTATTCATTATAATTTAGTAAGAAGTTATTGATAAGTGTATTTTTTACACTTATTCGAGACCCTAAATTATGATATTTAATTATCTTTCAGATAAAATTCTACCTAATTTATATTATATTGTATTTTGTGGGTAAAACTTTATGTTTAATGAAGAATTAGAGAAAATAATGCAAAAGTGACGAAAAATGACAAAATCCAAATATGAAACATTGAAGAAAAATATTACATTATATGGGTTGGAGTTAAATGAGTTTCAATGGATTTGCATTGAAAATTTTAATTGGACATCAATATGGCTTATATATATACCGACAGACGAGAGGGAGGGAGAAAAACGGCGCTGGAAAGAAACAGAGAAAGAAAAACAGAAAAGAGAGAGAAAAAATGAGTCAAAGATTGCGGCTGTGGCTGAACATATATATACACACGTACACGCAAGAAAAAAAAGATATATATATACACACAATTGGCTGCAAGAATGTAATTGATATACACAGTGGACGCACACGAGAGAGACAGGCACGAATAGTTTCACGTTTCGTCAATTTTTAGCGATGTCATTCCACTTTTACTTGTTTTTATTTTTACAGTATGAATAACTAATTTTTATATTAGGAAAAATAATATAGTCAACTTGTCATACGTTATTTTTCTATTCAAAATTTATGTGTTTTATTCTTATATGTGTTGGTTTTACTAATGCATTGAATTACTTGACTACTAATTTGATGATTATGTGAGTTTGTTACGAATCGAGATGCGAGTTTGGGATTTAGATCATATAGTAAAATTCGGTAAATTTATATAACATGTAAAGATACATATACTACTTATTGCGATTATAATATGAATTCTTAGAACTAACGTTTTGTTTAACTAAAATTGATTCGCACAGAGATATTGAATTTAATTAATTAAATAGGATCAATGAGAACTCGAGAGGGGTAAATTAAATACAATAGAAGAATGCAATCGAACACTACATTAGGTTATGAATCTTGAATTAAGAATTACGGTGATCAATAGATAAATTTGTTATACCCTAATATTCATCACATATTTGAATTTTCAATTATCCGTTGTGTGCAATCTTTTTATATATTTTCAATTAGTTAAAAGTAGTTAGAAAAAATAATCACGATCATCATAATTATTTACTTGTTTTTGTCAATAGGAGTTAAAAAAATTAGATTAAGTCTTAAAGTATAGTTTTCGTGGGAACGATATCCAGACTTAAATGTCCACTATACTACGATATCGTACACTTACAATATAAAAAATGCAATAGCTGTAAACATTGTAAACACATAGTATTTGTATTTTTTTCTCCAATATTATAATAAAATCTCAATTATCTGCAAAATTACATTGTTTTTGCGTTCTTGTGATAGTTACTTTATAATGTCTATAATCTCCTATTTTCTCCAATAATTTGGTATTGATTTAATCCAATATTATCTTCCGCTTTTCACAACAAACTGGTATCAGAGCATCCTAGTTCATAACATCATTTGACTTTTAATCGGAACGAATTGTTCGTTAAAACTTAATAAGTTCTATTATCAATAAAAACTTTAGGTTCAATGTAAATGGTCAATAGTTTTAACAGAAGTAATCCGATTAGTTGTATAATATTTACATATTTCATTATCATTCAATGTGAGATTTACTCTTAACATTCATGCACATCATGAAACCTATTAGATTAACGAAGAATACTTTGGCAGTGATTAACTGAAACAATTTTGTAAATTTTATTGCGGTTTTTTATTAAAATAACACACTATGAAAGTTCTATGTCGGATTTAAACCCAATTGGAAGTAGAGAATACAAAACTTTGATATTATTGGTTATATTGTGAGAATCTTTAAGAACAAAAAGAAAAAGTCTTCCTAGTACAAGAAAATCAAATTTTATTAATGAAATAAAATAAAACTCAACAGCAAAAGCAATTTTGTCATACGCGTAGAAGAGAAATAGGCTCGTTTTCTGTTGTGGTTGCTGACCGGTTTTATAAGTTAATTATGAGATAGATTTCATCGTTAATCAGGCTAACGAGGCCGTCTTGCATCCAATCGTTTAAAAAAATGTGAAAATTTAATAATAATATTATGACTCGTTACTAGGGACTGCCACGTGGTCATTGTAATTAAGCTATGAGATCCGATCCGTTCCAACCGCTTTGCTTCTTTCTGTGTAGACTGATGCCCCTTATCCGAGGCTCTCTTTCCAGCCGAGGCTCCTTGTCCAAGGCCCTCTTATCAGTCAAGGCCCAATTACTTTTGGGGCACTAGATCCGAGGCTCCCCAACTCGTAACGGCCCACGTGCAAGGATTCACCCATGATGAAGATCTTTATCCAAATTATTGATGTGACATTTGTGAAAAATGTATTTATGTATTGTCTTGTCAATGTAAAAATATTAAATGATTGAAAAAGCTAGGAAGATCAATTTGATAGTTAGGATTTGATGTTTAGGTCGAGGAGATGAGGTCACGTGTAATTTGATCCAAGGGTCACCATTCCATTTGTAACACTATAAATACCCCCACCATATAACAATTAAGGACTAATAAAACTTTAAATACTCAAAGCAACCTATCATGTTCTCTTATCAGTTTATTACAACTA